TCCCCAAACCCCAAAACCCCAAAACCCCTAAGGTTAAAATAATTTTATAAAAATTAAGTATAAAATTACAGAATATAATAATAATCAAAATGATAATTAAATGCAATCTTTGCGATGATTACATCCAAATAGATTCATCTCAGTGTATTTAATGCAAGAATTACTACTGCTACGAATGCATTATTGATATGCCTTTTAATGGATACCATTTTAGATCAAAGAACCTAGATCAATGTGAATTGCAAAATAATTATCTCAAAGATATGCTGCTAGATAATAAAACCCTCAGCATTCTAGAATAAAGTCTCATTGAATGTTAAAATTGCCATCTATCCTTCACATAACTTGATATTAAACTGCATGTGTGCTAACTTGATAAAATAAATATGAGCGCTTGTTAATTTTGCAATTTAAAGATTCCAGATTAAATGATAAAATTTCACACCTATATCTGTGATTAATACTAAATTTAAGAGTAGATTGTTTACCCAGCAAATGAGCAATAGATTATTGGAGATGAACTTTAACTTAATATAGAAATGAATGAGCTTCTAAATGATTTCTAGAAATTTTAAAAGTAAAAGATATCGATTGATGGGCTAATTGAAAATAGTAAAGTTGATAATCAACTATAGAATCTAGGGAATGATTAAGAGAATATTCAAAAATAAGCCAAGACAATAAATAAAAGATGCTAGATATGTAGAGGAAAATTAAATTACCATATAAAAAGGCTTCATTAATGTGATATTTGCAGTACAAGTAGTTGTGATAATTGTGGTAACATTTAATGTCATATTTGCCTAAAAAAGGTGTGCAGAGGAGACTATAATTTGAGGGATAATCACTGCATTGAATGTGTTGATGTTTGAGAATAATATTGTTATTTATGGAGACTGCTTTTGATTGGATTGATTGAGAATATAAGTTTAATTTATTATATTAATTGCTAAAACATTGCATCATTAAATAAAGAAATGGAATCAAAGCCATTAATTACTTTTAAGAAAGTACAAGTTAATTTAGTTAAACAATCAAATATAAAAGATGCAAAATATATTGTGATAGACAAGCTGGATGATATTAAAGTTAAGTTCATTTTCAGCTAAGCAAAGAATAAATTTAAATAAGGCAAATTTTAATCGTAAGAAATCTTTTGTTATTTAAGGTAATAGTTTATTTGTACTTGAGACAAATGAGAGTGTCTAGTCTGATGAATAATTGAAGAAGATTATCTAAGATTTTAGCATAGCGTTTTACAAAGAAGCTGAGCAAAAGCCAAAGATGACCTTAGTTTTGTGCGCTGATAAGGATTCAAACATTAAAAAAGGCTAGTAAGGATAACCTTAAAAAGAAGAGGAAGTCAAAAAGGATCTGATTGAATCAATTAAGTCAGATTAGTAAATATTAGCTGATGAGTAGCATGAAAAGAAAGTTAAATTTAGTATTATAGCGAAGGAAACTCTAGTTGATGAAGAATCAATGAAGCAACTGTATTCTGCATCTAAACTTGAGGGCTGTCTGCAAGCATTTGGGATGCCTGATTTGCATCCTGGCAAAGGTATACCTATTGGTGCCTCAATTATAACTGAAGGTATTATATATCCAGAACTGGTTGATTACGATATTGGATGTGGTATGTGTTTCTTGAAAACGGGAATGCAAGTATCTAAACTTACTTAAAAAAGACTTGAAATGCTGAGCTTTAGTTTAAAGAGTATCGATTGTCCTTGGACATCTGATTATAAGAAATATGAGGAATTCTTGGATTCTGAACTTTAATGGGGATCCCAAAAGTGTGAAAAAATAGGAATCGATAAATTAGATAAGAAAACATTATAAGCACTGGGTACTATAGGGGGTGGTAATCATTTTGCAGAGTTCTAAGAAGTCAACTAAATAATTGACTAACAAGCCTGTGATGAGCTCTAAATTGATTAGAATGAGGTGTTTATGCTAGTTCATAGTGGTTCAAGAAATCTTGGAGAAAAAATACTATAAGGCTTTCTAGATGATAATAAATCTAGTTAAAGTAAAGGAGCGATAGTGGGCTCAGAATAATTTGATAAGTATATGTCTAATCACGATCTTGCTCTAAACTTTGCTAGAAGAAATAGATTTCTGATTGCTCATAGGATCCTGGAATAGATTGATTCAAGGAAAACAGTAGATAAAGATATAGATAGCAAATATGCAATTGGTTCAGGTGAGTGCATTGTTGACATCTTTCATAATTTTGTGGAGAAGAGTTCTATAGATAATGAAGATGGGACTTAAAAGGAAGTTTGGATTCATAGAAAGGGTGCTACTCCCTCAACACACAGCAAGTATCTAGTCATTCCAGGGTCTAGAGGATCGTACTCTTACTTAGTTAAAGTTTGCCAGGAAAACGTGGCTAGCTCTGGCTATTCACTTGCTCATGGAGCTGGTAGGAGAATGAATAGAAGTAAAGCACTTGCTATCAATAAAAATAAGCATCCCAATCACAATGATCTTCTTAAAACTGAATTTGATAGTTTGGTAGTTTGCGAAAATAAACAACTAGTCTATGAGGAGGCACCTATCGCTTATAAAAATATAGACTCTGTGGTTAGAGATTTAGTTGAGTTTGGACTGGTAACAATAGTAGCTTAACTTAAACCACTATTAACTTACAAATTTAAAGAACCTGAGTTCCAGCAATTACAGCATAGGTATGACCCTGAACTGCATCGACGCAAAGAATATAAAAAGTAGGATTAATATGACTCAGACAATAATTGAATTTTCATTAATAATATTTTGGAAGAGAGAATAGCTCAAATCATGATGTGGCATGATATTAATTAAAATCTGATTATTTTTATTTTTATTTATTCTTAATTTTATTATTTTGGTTTCTTGGGGTTTTGGGGTTTTGGGG